AAAGGACCAGCATAAACCAGCAAAGGACCAGCATCCCAGCGTCAAAACATACCTAACCAGCATATGCTGGTTTTTTCAACAGGGAAGGCAATCAGATTGACACGTTTACTTGACATATCACATATATGTGTACATATACATAATCAGAATCTGAGCCATTTCCGCTAATAATCAGAATGCAGTCCTCGTCTACTTGCTTAGCGTTACTGTTATTGAACATTCGACTCGTTATAGGTCGAACCATGTTTTCATCTCAAAATAAAACTCTAGACATATCAGTTTTCAGAAGCGCAAAAGGCTGACAGCATGCGGGTTGCTAAAAACAGTCTAGGCATAGCACGAATACTTCCACAATCTTGACAAGCTGCTCTTGACCTTTCCGAATAGTTCCCCTTGACTTCTTCAAACTGGTTTCAACATCCTGAGCAGCAATACCACTTCTGTGACTAATGCTGGTGGAAAAAAACAAACTCAAGTTCAGCTTGGACTTTTCGCAAAGGCCACACTCACCGTTACACCATTGGAATGGTTGCATGTAATCTGACTCCAAGCACTGCGGCTGCAAACTCACTGCTTGTCTGGAACAGGCAATGCGGGGGCTGGAGGAGGACACAAGCGAAGCTTATTCCCGACAATTTTCCTGACGTTCTTCCTGTAGGTCAGACGGGTCTAAAAAGCAGCTCTTCAAATGACAGGGTGTGCTGTCTTGATTATAGTTCAATTATTCCTCCATTCATCCCACTTTTATGATGTCAGCATCGAAGAACAAAAGATTTCAAGCACTCTGTGTCTCCGCCGATGTGAATATGCACAAGGTGCTTTGTTACACAGACAAAGGGAGCATAATGTGCCCTTGATATTCTTCTTGTCTTTGAGATCCAGTCCGTATGTGGCCGGATGGCACTTCGGATGTGATCTTCTTTGCTGTCATACACAAAAGTTAACACATTTCTTAATAACAAGTCCTGCGAATGGTGGTTTAGCGAGCACTACACACCCATAACATACAAGCCTCCATCTACAGCCTTTGGCTTCCCTCAAACCCTTATTGCAAAAGACTTTGGCATGTCTCTCTCTCTCTGTCGATTTTTCTAGCTCCTCTTCCTTGACGTCGCTGTTTTTTTTTTAGGTATATTCCTTTATTTCGAATAAAGCCGTTTAGAGATCGAAGAGAACAGTATCTTCACCACCATCAAGCCACTGGAGTGTTTATGTGTGCGCCTGTGTGGGGGAGTATATTTTCTCTCCACCTAAAACCATCTGTTCCCTCAATCCTTTCATCAAGAAAGTGGACAAAAAAACCCAATAGTCCCTTAGCTCATTCAACGAATATCCGAGCCAAAACGCAAGCATCTGGGGGTTAAAGATGTGTTCTAGTCAAGCCAGCCAGTAATATTCTCCAGGAAGGCGCCTGCGTCTTTCCTGGCCGCACAGTTTCAGTTTGTAAACAGATCTGTGCTCATGTGATCCTGGTTTGCCTCGCAACTCTGTCCTCCAATCCCTCCCTCCCTTCCTGAGCGAGTCCCCTCCTCCAATCCTCTGCGCGACTGCAGTCACAGGATGGCCTCCGCTGCTTCTATATGTCTCACTCAGAGGGATGCAACATTTTAAAGGGGTCATATGATGTTGCTAAAAAGAACATTATTTTGTGTATTTGGTGTAATGAAATGTGTTTATGCGGTTTAAGGTTCAAAAAACACATTATTTTCCA